TCCTATGCTATCATAAACAGAATAATTAAAGAAGAAATAGTAACTGTTTTCAAGTTGTTAATTACAAGAACACAGCATTTACTAGACCACATCTGAATTTGCGAAATTAATGCAGTTGTGATTTTTTTTCTAGTGCTGATGTCAGTCTTTAATGTATGGAATTATACTCCCCTTAAAAAACTAAACACAATTTGGTAACAATATTTTCAAAAATTAATTTCGTGGATGGAAAGAATTCGATGTTGCAGCGCTACACGAAAACAAAGCGAGGATGTTCTTTCTTATACAAAGTGTTACAAAACGTATTTATTGTCTTTGGTTGCGTCAATTTCGATGACCTTTGACATTTGAAATTTGCACGATTTCTTTTTTCCCTGGGAAACTGAAAAGACGTTTTACGTGCAATTCATGGAATTCTTAGGCAAGTTCGTGACATGTCCTTTTCACAAATCATACAGTTACCGAAGTAGATTTTGTGATCGCCATGCCAAGATTCAGTTGTACTTGGAGAATTAACGCTGTTGGTAGACTTGAAAGGGTGAGTCACAAGCATCAGTGACAAGGTATTTCAAAGCTGCCCGGAGAAACAGTCCCCAGACCTTGGGCATACTATCGGCAACAAGGCACGATTCCCGTATCCTTCTTCAAGTGGGAAATGGGCGGAGCTGTGTGTAGAAGAGACGGAATAAGCTTAATATCGGATTTTGCGCACAAAAAGTCGAGAGAGTGTCATGATGTGGACAGACACGCATCTCTTGAGCGCAGAACAGATCTTGTTCCTGCCCTGGGCAACTTAACAGGTGTGCGACATGACGATGTGACTAGCACCAAGCGCCCCTTTACAGCGTGACAATGCTAGTCAGCAGACTGCACGAGTCGGTACTGAATCCTCAAGACAGGAGATAAAGGATCGCCATGACCGCCAAGGTCACTAAATCTCAGCCCTATTGAGCATCTGCTTGAAATAATGACGTAACCGACAAGGCACCTATAAATACTTCCCCGTTAGACGCGTGATGAACTCTTATTTTGTAACCTCCTCTCGTATCGCTTAAAGCATTAAAGAAGTCACAAAGTGAATCTCTTGACACAACCGTATAAGATTCTATACCGAAACGTCGCTTTTTACAGTATTAAAGAAGTTGTTATCCATAAAATTGTGTCTACCTTGTCATCCGTCAACAGTCTAAGTAATGCCTATCAAACAAAACATATGCGTAGTTGATGTTTATTTGTGTGTCACGTGTTCAAGAGTGTACACTAACAAGTACCAGCATACACTGTTATATTTAAAGGATTGCACGTCCAGGCTTAACTAATGGCTTACGAAAGACACATTAAAATACCAAGAAACATGCACTTATAAAACACGCATTGACAATAACTATAAAAGCATGCTAATTGATGTTTTTAGATATTTTAACACAAATATACAAATCCTGCAAACACACACACACACACACACACACACACACACACACACATATACACACACAGCGCAGACCATTATACAATCTACAATCAATTAAAAAATGACATTTATGGAGCATTAAATTGGTGAGATTGTATTCCAGACTGATATTGTGTTCTAGTTTAATGTATCATTAATATTATACTGTCTGGAGCTGCAGTATGACGTCATAGATATATGGTTAGAGAAGGGTGGGAGTGATTGACCGATGGCTATTTTCAGGTACGGTCATGTTTGTTTGTTGTTTAACGCCGCACTCAGCAATATCCTAGCTATATGACGGCGGTGTGTAAAAAATCGAACAATAATAACCAGACAATCCAGTGATTGACACCATGAGCATCGATCCACGCAACTGGCAGACGATGACATGCATCAACCAAGTCAGCGAGCCTGACCACCCGATCCCGTTAGTCGCCTCTTACGGCAAGCACAGTCGCCTTTTACGGCAAGCACAGTCGCCTTTTACGGGTTGTCTAGGTTCACAAAGTACGTTACATGTTATCAGTGGGGCTATCACCATCCTTCTACAACAACCGCCTCCGTGGTCTAGAGGTAGAGTGTCCGCCCGGAGAGCGGAAGGTCCGGGGTTCGATCCCCGGCTGCGTCATACCAGAAAAAGATGTTAAAAGATGGTACTTGTTGTTACCCTGCCTGGGGCGAGGCATATAGGGGCTAAAACCAAAACTGGTCGGGTCGGAGTTAAGTATACTGTGTCTGAGTGGGGTGTTCATGTTAAACTGCGGCATGGTTTCTCATTAGGGTATATTCCTCGCCACTTGAAATAGAATCACGAAATATCGCGATGATAAATTAACGAAGATGTCAAGTCATTCCGATGATAAGGAATATTACGGTAATGACCAAACTGGGAAAGTTTTGTAGCGAGAAACATCATGATTGAGTTTTGATCAATGATGACAATCCGGGTATGCTTGGCAGTCATGTGACCGCGAGCGCTTATATCCAGCAGTGAGCTTGGTCAATTGCGCTTCAAATACATCTGCACGGGTTTTTTTCTTTCAGTCCGTGCTGGTGATGTACGTGTACGTTCGCTGCTAAATATCGTCACCTGACTCCCGGATCTTACCCAGATCACGTGATCAAAAGTCATTGATGATGTTTGTCGCTAACAAACTGGATAAAAAAATTTAAGCACACTTTGCATTTTTTGCCATTACTCTTAAGTAATGTCATATATATATGACTTAAGAGTAATGACAAAAAATGCAAAGTGTGCTTTAAAAAAAATATCCAGTATATATATATATATATATATATATATATATATATATATATATATATATATATATCCCCCTCCTGTCATTCACCTGATGGGCGGTCGGGTAGCCTAGTGGTTAAAGCGGGTTCTATTCCCGACATGGGTACAGTGTGTGAAACCCATTTCTAGTGTTTCCCGCCGTGATATTGCTGGAATATTGCTAAAAGCGGCGTAAAACCAAACTCACTCACTCACTCACTCATTCACCTGATACCCGTAAAGATCCGTGGTAGAATAGGTCTTCAGCAACCCATGCTTGCTGTAAAAGGCGATTATGCTTGTGTTAAGAGGCGATTAACGGGATAGGGTGGTCAGGCTCGAAGACTTGGTTGATGCATGTTATCGTATCCCAATTGCGTTGATCGATGCTCATTATATCAATCCCTGGATTGTCTGGTCCAGACTCGATTATTTACAGACCGCTGAAATATTGCTGAGTGCGGCGTTAAACAACAAACAAACAATCATTCATCTGATGAAGGGGCAAAAATTAACCATGACACGTTGTGTATGCATAACAAACAAGATGTTATTCATAATCCCCCTTGCCATGTTTAGATCCAACTTCTAAATGCTCATAAAGACTCACAACATACCGACTGTCATAACTTATCAGTGACGTCAGACAAGCCTTATCACGCCCTCCGCTGACAGCTGCAGTAAGCCATATTTCTACAGCGAAATAGGTCGCAAAACATCAGACTATTTCCATAATGGCGCTATATGTTATTATCCTAAACATGACCTGATAACTGATACCAGACTAGATTGATTGTGTCATACGGGTGCACCCGATCGAAGCGTCATAAAATACGGAGGGTTAGTCACCCTTGTGACGTAAAATATTTGCTTATTACTAGTCGAGTGAGTGAGTGAGTATGATTTCACGCCGCTTTTAGCAATATTCCAGCAATATCACGGCGGGGGACACCATTAATAGGCTTCACACATTGTACCCATGTTGGGAATCGAACGCGGGTCTTCGGGGTAACGAACGCGTGAACCACTAAGCTACCTAACGCCCCCCTGGTCGAGGCGTGAAGTTTTATGGTCAGTTGGTATTTATTTCACGTATCTGAGCGTAACTTTTTCCGTTTGCATGTGTTTCTTTTCCTATTGATCGAAAATAAGAATATCAATTTTCCGCATCAGTTTTAAAATCTCTTTAGCTTTAAGTTAACCCACGATCGATGCCATCACGTATTAAGCCTATTGGTACGCTTGAAAACAAAACATATTGATACGCTTGCAAACCAAAGAAAAGACGTTCCTCTGTCACCATTATTTACTCACTAAAATTAAATTATTTTTTTTTATTTTATTTTTTTTATTTGAAACAAAATCGGTATATGTAAGCATAATATAGTCTCCTCGGTAGTGTATGGCAATATCGTGTTGGACTTTGGTGGGAATACGGAGTAGAAAGGTTCGTAGAGTTCCATTGTAACCAGTTATTAGGTATAGTTGTGTTTGACGCCGTTTTGAACAGTTTAACTGTTATATCGCGATATGGATGGGCACAATGTGTGACCTACAACCTGAGTGCGTCATCGGACCCCAGCAGAATGTTCTTTCTCGTGCTGTCGGACACACATTTGCCTGTCCCAGACTGACTTATTTACAGATCACTGTCACATGTGTAATAGTGCTGAAAGCGGCGTTAAATAACATTCACATGTAGTTTCTTGACCAGTTATGAAGGATCTGTCAGCGTCAGTACCCGTATGTCAACGTCCGTGTTTAGTCTTCAGTTACCCGTGTTTAAGATTAAAAGCTAATTGGAAGAATTGCATATCGTCATTTTCATAAAATAATAAATTTGAAACTTCTTAAGGTTTCCCGTTTTTATGGTGTGAATCTTCAATGCTGTGATAAAAAAAAATTGAAATCAAACCTCCGGAAACATATTTAACAAAATAACACACAGATCGGGTGAACTTTAGGAGGTAAATATGGACACTTGCTAACAAACAGTCTAATTTTACCAACTGACATTTAATATTTATGGGATAAATAGGGTTCCTATATTTAAAATAAAGGACCAACTCATAAGTCATAATTATAAGGAAAAAAAACCCGTCTCTGTTGTGATTCTCATGACAAAGCTCAAGTACTTATCACTTATTCCAAATATGAATCAAATTCATCAAACGACCTAATGTCAGATTTATTTTTAAGCGCGTATCCTGCGATAAGGCGATTAGGCGAAAGGGGGATAACTCCAGCGACTCTAATCCTCCCTGAAAGACGTCTGTCAGCCAAGCGCAACAGGCGAGAGCTATTTAGAGAGCGGGCCAATCTATTGCTCTGGCAACGGTACTGCTAGCGAACGTCACCCACCCTCACAGTTTTGACAGGAGCGGGAGGAGGGAAAGGGTACATCCAAAAGTTATACTTCCATCGAAATGGCTGGAACACGGGGCGGTAGATCCCGAGGAAATCGTGTGGATGATGTGGAAATGCGCCGACTTCGCAGTGATTTAGATCGGGTACGTTTATCGTTTAACAGATTTTTGTATTTCGTTCAATGTTCACACTTTCGACCTCTGCCAAATAGTCGACTGAGTTCCTTTTCCACTGATAACAGACTTCAAAACCGAGTAGATTTTCTAGACAAGATGTACTTTGAGTTTGACAAAAACCTAAAAACTTTCTTGTTGTCGTTGGTATTTTATATTCATGAAACTATGCGATGATTATATGTATACATCTGTTCAATTATTTCAATTAACTGTGAAATAGACCACAACGCTACGCTTTGATAATACCCTCACTTTGTCTATTGATAGAACTAAGTGCTTCCCGGATATATTAGGAAATACTTATAAAGTTGTCAAACTAGATTTTTAATATTTGTCATCGTCATTAATTGTAAATATACTCATTAAACAGTTACTTGAAAACAGTAAAAAGTTAATTAGTAAAGAGAATTGAAGTCATTAATCAAATACAGAGCTAAACAGATTAATGTTCATAGCAACAAGCTAATGATACAGATTGACTGGATTAAGATTATGCTAATCTCTACAAGCTGTGTTTGTAACAAGGCATTCAGATGGTATTTGCTGGTACAACCAATGCTTGTAGACTTTCCATTGACAGTGAATCAGAGCTTTGGGCTAAGTATCCATTCAAACTAGCAAAACCCTGTAGATCCCATTGACCATAAGACTTGACACGATCACCCCTAGCCATTGGACTGACCTGTCTCAAAGCACCCAGTTACCTTGACACCGAAGAAATGTGACAATCAGTTTACAAAGCAATTCAGATATGGCCTCCCACTGTAAATAAACTGCCACATATATTCATATATTCATATATATTCATATATATACATAAATAAACAGCCCACTTTTGTATATTCAGTAAAGGCCAAGTGATTCTATGACTTTGTAAAAAATAAAAGGTTATGTGATTATGAATAGATTACAAAAACACATAATGAGGGAGCCATTAACTGTCATGTCTGTCAAACAATATTGGAATTATTATTGACCATACCGTTTTTGTTGTATTAATGCATAGTATTATGCATGGTATTAATCCATTATTTGAAACTGAAATTTAATATGTTCAGCAGTGATAATGGGCAAATTATTTCATTAATACTAGTTGATAGTAACAGTACTTTTCATTTCTTTCCTGGATATATAATATGGCTGCTAGTGTTTATTTGAAATAGTTGTTTTAGCAAGTATTAAAAGCCAAACAGTTCATTCCTAGGTTACAAGGCTCATTATCATTTCACAATAATTTCATGCACACCCTCCCCCCTCTCTCTCTCCCTCTCTCTCTCTCTCTCTCTCTCTCTCTCTCTCTCTCTCTCTCTCTCTCTCTCTCTCTCACACACACACGCACACTCTCATGTGTATTAGTCTCACACACACACACACACACACACACACACACACACACACACACACACACACACACACAAATATAGTGAAAGTTTGCTCATGCTGTCGACCACTGGTTTACCTTGCAGACTTGATTATTGACAGTTGCAGAATGTGAACATATAGCTTATATTTTGTTAACTCAACAAACTCATTCATTCTTTTGAATTTCACAGATTGAATATAATTTTTTTTTTAAATAACAGTATGAACTTGTACAACTGCTCCCTTTGTGAAATTCAATATGTCTAATTTATTGTGCATATGAATATGTATACATTGTTTCCATTTGTATGGGTATTCAACAATCATATGAACATAGAACAATCAAACAGAAACGTCCTTGTGTAATGTATTCATAGAACAATCATATACGTAATTGTCTGACATACACGTGACAATATGAGGTTAATTTAATATTGATTTTTCGTTTGAGAATGTTATCGTGACTATCATATAAATACCACAGTGCAGTTTACTTCACTGGCTACATACCATACAAACAGATAAGACTATCTTTCTAGTTCCTTGTACTTGAGGCATATTTTGGACACTGCAGAAGTTGTCAAAAAGAAAGATTTAAAGATTGTCAATCATGGCCATGTTGGAGAGAAGCTCACTCACTGTAATGACTGGAAACAGAAAAAGCGAGACAGCCCAACTAGATTAAACTGTAGGCACATACACTTTATCAGTGAGTGAAATACTTGGGAACATTTTTTCTTGAGCCTGTGACAAGACAGTCAGTTTTATGGGGCAAACAACGAACTGTCATGGCGACACACCCACAAGGGACAGTCGTTTTTGTAGTATTACTTTCAAGGGCTTGAAGACACTGTTCTGTTGTTTGCACAGTCATGAGTTCCGTAAACTTTGTATGTCTGAGGAATATAAACATCGATCATAGGTCAAGGGAATGTGCAGAAGCTAAGGAGAAATTAATTCTATCATATTTATATAATTAATTTTAAATTCCTATTTTCAATAATTGCTATTTTATGCTTGTGTATGTGAGATGGGTGGGGAGGGGCTTTTGATATTTTTATATATTTATTATGATGTGTAATAGTTGAAGATATACTTATATTATGTAACATTATTAGCATTACTTATGTTAATTATTAAGATCAGTGTCACTTGGGATACAGTGCTGGTGAAACAAGGGTTAATGCATACCACAAAACATAGGTCACGATACGTATCGTGCACCGAACTAGAAATAGTCAAACAGGGAATAGTCAAACTGGGAATAGTCAAACTGGGAATAGTCAAACTGGAAATAGTAGAACCTACACCTAAACGTCGCTCTTAATTGTAATAAAGAAGTTGTTCATCCATAAATTCTTATCCTTACTTAGTACTCCAACTTCTAAATGCCTATCAAAGACGTTAAACTGGGACCCACTGAAATCTCGACAGTGCATCTGCGATAATATTGTCATGTGTTGTTATATATCTGGCCTTGAACAAAATGTTGTGTTTGAGGCACTGCAGCACTAGCTGCCTAATCAGTGACATGATTCTGGGTGCCTTTGAAGACTGTTTATTTATTATTGACACTACCGCTTGGTTATCACAAAAGAAAAGTACTTTCCTGTTAGCAAAGGCTGTACAACTTGACGGACGTGAGCGCTGATAGCATCCGCCTGGAAGGTCAGGGAATCCCCTGTTCCCTGATTGGTTGACCCCGCTCCTGACTCTGCACGTGGTGTGACGTCACGGGAAACTCCCGGCTCGCCCGAGTGTGCACTGCTAAATGACAACACATCGGGATTTCTTGACACCACCGACCCCGTTACCCCCAGATCATTGGTACTTACCCCTCGCATGCCAGTAAAGCTCCGAGAAGTATCTTGGGCCATCCGTTTGCCTAGCATATCCAGTATGCTGTTGAGTTGGCTCGATATAGCTAGCATCGACGGAACGGGCGACCCCACTTGTTGGGGCTCTTCGATGTCTCCGTGATCGAATCGCGGGAGAACGTTTGGATTGTCCGAATCATCTGCTTCAACTAGCAAGTTAGCAGCTATTTGTACACTTGGCAAGGGGGGTCCGTGCAATGGAGATCTAGCTGATCTCCGTGACTTACCAGTAGCCGATGTCGCTTGCCGGACACTTGGTTCCCTCCTGGCTATTTTCCCGCTCCTTACGAGGCGGTGATTTAAGGCGGCCCGTCTTTTTGGTGGCATTCTTAATGGTAATTGCAACGAACTATGCAACGAACTATAGATGAATGCGCGAATATAACTATGTGTTGTACGGCTGAAAGCTGGAGAGCAAGTGCTGCGTGAGCTGATGCCACGCTACAACAGGTCATAGAAAATATAAACAAACGCTCCTTTACCGGACGTGCCAAGAGCGGATCTAGGCCAGAGACAATGGCACCATGCAAAACGGCACGTAGCCGCACGGAATGAAGGTATTTCGCTGTAATAATATTAGCAACTGTGCCAAGCCTAACATAAAGGCATTTAGTTCTAATCACTAAATGCTATTAACAGTACATGAAGGTTATAGCACTCTTCAAGTGGTGTTATCCCCTGCAGTGAACATGGACATACACGAGCATGCACTGACTGCCACTGGTGCGGCAGAGAGCTATTTATACCTCGCTGTTTGTGATCACACACAATGGCTGCTACTTATGATGGTTATAGTACCGTAATTAAAAATTGATTTCACAAAGCTGTTGTTTGGTTTGTGTTTCCAAGCAGTAAAGCTATCAATATTCATGACAGTTACCGTAAGTTGTAAGTAAACGACCCATGGTAGACAAATGCTGAAAATTTATGATTTTGACAGAAACAAACAACTCCTTTTTTTTTAAAAGGAGCCCCAATGGGATGGGAGATGTGGAAAATCTAGACTTGCTTCACTTAGGGCTATAGTATTACAGTAAGCGCTGGGCAGAAGGGAAATACTGTGGCTCAGGACAATGAGACAGGCTAAGACCCATGAGACTTTTGGGTTTTGAAGATTCTTCTGATGTTGAAATACTTGAACTTTGAAATGTCTTTGTAGATATTACTCCCACACTTTAGTAATTGAAGCATTAAGGTGGCTTACTAGGTCAGTTTGTATGACAAATGACGCTCTTACTATCAACCCCATGTTTGTCAGCTCCAAAGTCAGGTACTTCACAGCCTGTGTGATAGAGCTGTGGTAATGCTGATGACAGCCCAAACTCTCATCCTGACATATGACTAGCCCTCTCCAGACATTTTGTATGAATGATCTGAGCTATGAGGCACAGAGCATCTCGAATTCCAGTCTGACTTTAAACATGTTTTCTTTTGTAAGAGAATAAGGCATTGTTCTCTGACGGTGTGGCCGTAGACTATATACTCACAGAGTTATTTGATATAGTATTATTTTAATAAATTAATAGGTACATTTAGTTTTAATTTTTGGAGTTTGATTTTCTTGTTTTTCTAATCCATCTAAGAAAGAGCTCCGTATCAAGTAAAAATCAGTTTAAACTACTTTATTTTCTGTGGCTTTTGGATCAGATTTGTTTTAAAAAAATGTCAGGATTGGAATATATAGTTTGAATATTCTGTGATTTTCCATTTTTTCTTGTCTCTAATTAG